GATAGAGCATCAGTAATATTGAATAACATAATATGTGAAGGTAGAGGATATAAGGATGTATACTGAGAGCTGTTGAAAAAATGGGGGGTGGGAAGTAAAGGGATAAGGGAAAGTAATAGCAGGGGTTGAACGGACCAAAGTAAAGTATACCCATAGTGGGGGTATACTTTGAGAAACTCTTTTGAACATTGACTTAAATATTTGTAATGAAAGACAAGACTGCAAAATAGGTACAGTGTGTGGGGGGAGGAGGTAGTTATGAGAGGGAGGAGGGTGAATGAAGGATATTAAGGTAAGGGTATATAGTTGATGGACTTCATATACTTATTTGAAGCAGAAGAAAGAAATCTCTTGACCATTGCTTTAAGTGGGGCAAGGAGGGGGTTGAGGGGGAGAGATAGTGGGGGTGATCTAACCAACGTACAATATAAGCCTATTTGGAATTGTCATAATGAATCCCCCCTGTATAACAAATATAACCTAATGGTAAATTTTAAAAATTCTATTCAGTTTGGCAGTAAATGTAGAAAGTATGATTTTGTCACTTAATCTTGTAGACTAGGAAAAATTTATAAACTTACATGGACTTTAGATTCCTCTTTGGAAAAAATATAGATGCCAATTATTGTTCTGTCACATAGTGTGGGTATTTTGAAAACTGCAAAGTATTATGTGGCTATTAGAGACTTTTGAGGCTTATTTATCAATAATGATACTGATACTCATAAGAAATATTTTTATTTGTTCATAACTATTTAAAAATTTTAAATGTAGCATTATACAGACTGAATATTGTGTTGATCCTTATAACATCATAGGGCGGGTCAAAATTTTCTCATTTTTTTCATAAGAAGAGTACAATATGAGGGTGACATATGCCTCAACCAGTTGTAATTTAGTGAGTTAGAAGCATAGGAGAATTAGACTTTAGGATTTTCATTGCATTGCATTGCAAATAAAACCTTTTCAAAGATCCTGAGACTTACTGCCCTTGAAAGTGGAATTGTCCAAGAAACAAAGTCAAAACATAAATTTTAACAGTCAGTAGATGCCAGGAACTGAGTTTAAGGGCCTAAAAAACTTCTATGATTTCCTGTGACTTTTAAGGGTATTCTACACAGAAATATTTTATGTAACAATACTATCTCCATTTTACATATTATGAGAATGAGGCTCAGAGAGAGTCAGTGACTTGTCCACGGTCACAAAACCAGTGAATATTAGAGGTAGAACTTGAATTAAGTACATTGGATTCACACTCTCCTATTTTGATTTTATTTTCACGTCATAGACTGCTGAGTCACTGAACTTGGCTTCCTTTCAAATAATCAGTCTTAAATTGATAATTCTCTAATAAGCAATTTTTTGACAGGACTATTTGCAAACTATACATAATTACTTATTTTTAAAACAGCATTTCTTGGTGTGTATTTAAAACTGTATCCTAGTTAAAATCAATGCTAATGTGATTATGGTCATTATCACTGACTATATAGGGATACAACAGTGGACTAAATCTGCTATCCCTGTTCATTGCAGAGCTGGTTATCTAAGTGTGTTAGTTTTATGTTGCTGTAACAGAATACCTGACAGCATCAACTTAAAGGAGGAAAGGTTTATTTTGGCTCATTGTTTCAGAGGTTTTAGTTCATAGTTGCTTGGCCCCATCACTACAGACTTGCATAGTGGAAGAATATCATTGTGGGGCACATGGTAGAGCAAAGCTTCTCACTTCATGGAAGCCAGGAAGCAAAAAGAGAAAGGGAGAAAGAGGCTGGGGACAAGATATATCCTTCAAGGACACATCCCGTGACCTACTTCCTATTGTTTTGACTACTACTTCCAATAGTCACTCAATGATTGAACCATCATGGATTATCCATTGATCCAATCACTTCCCCCAAAGCACACCTCTGAACATTGTGCACCGGGAAACCAAGTAAATAATCAACACTGCATATATGAAATAGAATGAGTTTCATCAGAGGCAAAGTATTGACAGATCCTGTAACAGGGAGTGTTAGAGAGTCATGAAGGTCAGGAAAGTTATTGTTGAGGAAATAATACTCAAGAAGAGATTTGAAAAATAAGCTGATGCTGACTACACAAAGATAGGAGGCATGAGGACTCCATGGGATTAAGCAATATAGCAAGTATAAGGGACTAAAAAGACCAATATAATTAGAAAGAAAAAACAGCAATATGAAGAGGGAATGAGATGACTGGACAATGTAGATATGAGCCAGACCACACAGAACTTTTTGGTCATGTTAAGCAATTTCCTTCCTCTAATTTCCAGCTTCTAACAGGGGCTGTGATGTGATTGACTCTGCTTTTGATCAATCATTCTGGGTGCAGTGTACAGAATGAGGTGGAAGAGGGCCAGCTATTAGTCCAGGTAGACCAGTGAGGTGACTGTTGTAGCAGTACAAGTAAGTGACAAGGGTATCTCATCTGAGATCATGGAGGTTGAGATGGAGAAAATTGGACATTCTTGAGAAATATTTGGAAAATAAAATCAATAGGGCTTAGTGAAAAACTAAATATAAGAAGTGACTGAAAGGGCATCACAGAGATTGTGCCTCAGCTGTTGGTTTGTGGCAATAAAATAGGTACAGTAGAATAGGATTGGGATTTGGAAGAATTATCAAAAGTTTGGTTTTGTCATGAGAAGTATGAGGAGATTCTGAGATATCCAACAGGAATTGTTTGGGAAGTAGTTGAATGAATAGGTCTAGATAAAAATATACATTTGTGTGTCGTCTGCATAAAAAACAATGGAAGTTATATAATCATAATGTTATTAAGAGAGTGCAGTGTGAGAAGAATAAAGGGTCTAGAATATAGCCTTTAGGAAATCTAACTTCTAAAGGTCAGCTATAGGAGGATATATCTGGCAAGGAGATAGGAGGCAAACTGGGAGTTCACTGTGTCACAAGAAGAAAGTACTTCAAGGAAAGAAGAGGCCAATGACATTAGGTACCATGGAAATGTCAAGTAACTTGAAAATAGAAAAATATCCTTTGGCTTCAGTTGCAAGGAATTCATTGGCAGACTTAATGAGAGCTGTTTCTGTGGATTGACAGGGCTGGAATCCAAACTGAAGAGCTAAGAAGTAAAAAATGAAGAGACTAGACTGGATCCTTTCTAAAGTACCTTCCAAATCTAAAATAATATAATGCTATGATTTCATGCTAATGGCCAGAATCTTTCTTTGTTATCAGTTACCCTATTTGCCCTGTTACTGGTTAATAACATATCTCTGTTGTTGAAAGAAATGATTGGAAAAGACTATATTACTTTAAGCATCATTACAAACTTAAATTTGGGATAAATCATTTTCTTCTACTTTTATACCTATATTTTCTTTTGGAAAGAATCTTAAGAAATAAAACCCTTTTATTACTTTTCCATATAACATCAGCTGAAGAAATGTATTTTCAGGAATTGATTTTATTTGGGGGTCAGAATGACAGGGTCTAGAGTTTCTAGATGGATGAATTTGAAAGGGAGTAGATTTGTAGCTGCCATCAGGGATGTCTCACACTACCCCATACTGTTTTTCTTTAAAAGTAAATCACTTTTTCTAGGCTTAGTTAAGAAAACACATCTAAAGAATTGATTTTGTATGAAAGCAGAATGCTTGGATACTGATGTCTTTCACCTAAAAACAGGTTCCAGTATTCTATTGTCTTGGTGTCATAGAAATCTAGTGAACAGGCATAGTGTGGTCTGTAGACCAGCAGCATCAACTTTGCCTTAGAACTTCTAAGAAATGCAGAATCTCAGGCCTTATCTCTGACCTACTATATCAGAATTTGCATTTCAATAGGGTCTTCAGGTGATTTATACTAACATTAAAAGGTGAAAGATCTTGCAATTTTTTTCTCAGAATCTACTTTTTAAAACATAGAATTCTTTGGTATTCTGCTATGATATTTAATCTCATCCATGGACAAATTAGTTTATAGACTAAAAATTAATGATACAATTTTGTCTTAAAATTAAGTCTTGCAATAGAGTCCCAAGGCAACTACCAAGGTATATTTCACAAACCCAGCTCATGATAGGACATGTATTTTTCATCCTCCCTTTTCAAATACTAGTAATTACTTGTGTTTAATTATTTACCCTTCCTCTTTTGATTTGATTTGATTTTACTTTGTGTTATTTTATTTTATTAGTGGTATTGGGGTTTGAACCAAAGGTCTTGCACTTGCTAGGCAGGTACTCAGTCACTTGAACCACTCCCTTAGCCCACCCCTCTTTTTATTAATCATATTATTTATAAATTTAATTTGAGCTAGCAGTGTTACCTGTAGTGCTTTTGTGCCGGACTTGTAAACTTTCACTATTTTTCAGTTCTTTTAGCCATAGGAGAAGTTATTATGCTTTATTACTGACTTCCTGGCTATTATCACCTGGGATGGGCAGACGAAACTAAACCTCCAAGTCTCACTTTTTCTTGCTCCATTTCTAATATGGAGCCCTGTTCTAACCTTTAACCAGGGCAGAAAAAGATTGCTACTGCCCTCTGCTGGTTCACTGTCTTTTTTTTTTTTTTTCTTCTCTATGTATCTGTGACTTGAGGAGCCAAGGATTTTGAGCCACTGAAGAAAGCTCAGTAGAAGGAACTTTCCCTACTAAAGCGGTAGAGAGATTCTTTGGCTAAAATGAAACGAAAACACTCAAGAGTCGAGGAAGGCATAAAGGAATTCTAAATTAAGTTATTGATCCTCATAAACCTTTCTCTGTACACGGACTTCTCTGTGCCAAGGACATATCCTGTCCACGTCAGCACGGGACTTCTCTTTTGCCTCGGGATTCCACAAAAAGTGGACTATCCACACCCTTAGTTTAACGTCAGTACTCTGATTTTTTTGCTGTCTCCTCCGTTTTCTTTCCCCATGCCTAAACCTTATTCCCTTCTCTTTTCTGCTTCAAACTCCCGTCCCGCCTACCACCAGCAGACTAGCATTTCCTGGACCTCAGACCCCAGACTCTCTCACTCTGTCTCCCGTGCCTCTGCTCTCCCCTTTTCGTCAAAGCACCCCTTCAACACCCCCTCGCCAAAAGGCCCGTTACTCTTTGCCTTTGAACAGCAGGCACAACCCTTTTGAATGCCTCTCCCCGACCCCGCCCCAAGCTACTGAAAAAGGAAACATGCGCACTTCAGAGCTAGGAGCTGTCCGAGTGCTGAAATTTATAGGCTGGGTAAGATCACGTCTCCGTCTCTTTCTGAAGCCCTCATTCCAGCACAGGATCTCAGCAATTTTTCCCTCTCCTTCAGTCCCCCCCTCTCCAACACTCCAACGCGCAGAGTCCTTTCTTCTCCCTCATTTACAACTTCTTTAAAAAAGAGAACATTTTCTAGAGAAAAGGGCTTTTCTAAACAGAAAGAATATAAAACAAAAGCCACAGCAACCCGAGTTTCAGCATGGCATTGTCACCAGCCCCCTTTGCATGGTGATGCGATTAAGATAGCAGCATTTTTATTATTCAGGAAAAGCAGCTGGGGGATTCATCAGTTCTGAGGCTTTGTCTTTTCTAGGCTAACTGATGGTCCTGAGCCTCGGTTTGACCTGACCATGATGCCCAGGACTGGCACTTTTTGTTTTTTCTCAGCAAACTGTACAACCTCAAATCTCTTTTTGATTTTCAAGGAAACTAGATTGCTGCCAGATTTTGAATCTGGACAATAAATAGATACTTTGTCCTAGCTTCTTTCTGGAATCATTTCGGGATATTTTCCACAAGCATCACAGAAACAGGAATGAACCGGCAGCTAGTGAACATTTTGACAGCCTTGTTTGCATTTTTCTTAGAGACAAACCACTTCAGGTAGGTGAAACGACTTTGCATGCTGATATTTTCCACATGAAAACTGTTTGAAAGAGAAAGTGTCATACAATTATCTATTTTTTGTGCCCTGGATCATACTATTTTAATTTTATACAGGAGAGTTCAATTTCTTTTGTTCATTATAAAGCTTAATTATGATGGAAGGGTGGTGAATTTTCACAAAAGCAAGTTTTATGTTGCATAGCTACACTCTGTGCATTTCAACACATTGCCAAGCCAATATATATTAAGGTAGTCTGATGAGTTCCATGCTCTTTACATTTCTATATAAGGTTTATATTTTGCTTTCAAATTCTTCTGGAAGTAATTTAAAGGAATTATTGGGTACAGTGTTTTTCATATGATGTAAATGATTGGGTTAGTAACCCAGGAGCATGCTTATTTTATAAAATATAAAGCACTGATTCATAGCAAACTTGGGACTTCTATTATATTTCGTCAACTAGAAGCACACTATGAGGACTATGGTTCATGAATTATCATGAAACATCAAAAATCTCTTTTTATCACTCAGTTCCACTGTTTAACCTATTTGGAAATTGATTGCCTACCAAAATTTAATTTAAATGACATATTTGTATTTATGCCTGTATGAGAAATGGAGTGTGTATAATTAAAATAAGTGAGAAGTCATTATCTGCATGTTTGCATTTCATATAATTTATTAATTTTCTAATCAATTGATACCTCAAAATGTCAATTTTATTACCAGTAAATGAAATAGCCATCTAATAGCAGGCAGAGAGTCTAAGACAAGATAAAGACACAATATGCCTTTACAGCAAAGTATAGGACTCTTCATTTAATTTTCATGAAATTTTATGGTATTTTTTCACAGAACCAAGAAAAATGGAACACATAGAAATATTACTATGAATACTGGGAAACCCACTATATTCCTTTCAGGTTCACACTTCCTACTATGATTAAGAAAGATTGTAGGCTCAGTTTTATTAGAATCATCACCATCATCATCTTCATCATCATCCTCATCACTTCCACCACCATCATAACAAATAACACTTGATTAATCACATGAATCTGCATATGGAAATGTGAGTATTTCTGTATGGTTACATCAATTTTAACACCTACCAAATGTTTATGTCATCTTTGCACTTATATGTATATCTCTTCTTTGAAAAACTGGCAAGAATGTGACATTATCTGAGTGATAGAATTAAAAAGACTATTTGCCAAGCTATTGAAAACAAAGCTCATGAAACATATACTTTAATGACATTCAGTCAGGCACTGTGTATATGAAAGAGTTCATTTTGCTACAAGCCAAATATACTCTTTATATAAGCTCTTTATTACTTTTAACATGGGTATGAAAATCTGAGAAATCAACTTTTTGTGCTTTTGGTGACACAATGACACTAATATGTTATTGGAGAGTTAACAATTTAAATATTCATAAATAACAACTGATAAAATAATAAAATTAACAGACATGCTCATTATTGTCCTATTTTAAAATGATGTCAAAACTCCAATTGAAGGTTCTCTTTTAGACATATTAGGAAACACTAACAGTTGCTACTGGAATAGAACCTAGCATGTCAGAAAATATGCATATGACAATTAACTACACTACCTACTTTGTTCAACTCATCGTATTATATATTTCTTTTAACAGGTTAGAAGACTTATACTTAGGACTGTAATTCTGCAACATTTTTTAAAAGAATAGGGATATGATTTTGTGCCATCACATAAAAATTTTAAAAAATTATCATCTTCACCTCTCTGATCATTCTGGAAATACATAGCTTTAAACATATCTATAAAATCTACAACCCAAATCTATGTACATTATCTCATCTCAAACATCTTATGGTTAAAGCTTGAAAACTTAAGAAACATGACTCAGGATTTATATTTGTCTTCTTCTAAAGTTAACTTTAGACCTAGACCTGTACAAATTCAGAAGTCGATCAGAGTTTATATTTTTTATTTTACTGCATACTAACACATCAAATATCTTTACCAAAATGTGATTCAAATGTTTTGTAAGTATTAGTACTCAGGGATTGAGAATGAAATTATTGCTAAAAGAGTTAATGATCTGTTTAGAGCGGCTTTCTGCAAAGACCATGACTCCAGGTCTGGAAAACAACCTTCGCAGACCCTGTCTCCTTCAGATTTCTTGGACAAATTAATGGGAAGGACATCAGGATATGATGCAAGAATCAGGCCAAATTTTAAAGGTAGGTTCTACTTAAAATTTATGTTCAACCTTTGAGGAATCTTCTAGGTGTCTGAATAGTTTACTTTGAAAAATATTTTCAGTCTGTTTATTATAAAACAGAATTGACATGTATGGTATTTATTTTATTTTGACATTGCTTTGAATCAGTCACTGATTTAAATATCTTAAATTTTACTTGTTGCTGGCCACGTTTAAGAACTTTCCTTGTTTGTGCTCTGTTTCACAAATAACCCTACTGGCAAAGATTATTGCCACAATCCCCATTTTATCTTCAATGAGACTGTAGCTGAAAGTGAATGCAAGAGCAAATGACTTGACTTGCATGACCATCCACCAGAATGCATGCTAAATTCAATGGTTGCACCAAAATATTTGGTTTGCACTTTAAATATCTACACCAGAGTGAAGTTTAAGTTTTATAAAAAGCATGCCTTATTATACACTTCTGGGCCTCTTTAGTTTTTAGATTTTGTGAAAAGAAGCTTTATTTTAATATATCAGAAAACTTTAATTCACACTTGTTTAAATATTGTAATTGTTTATTTGAAATTAGCAAAGACTAAAGAAGTATAAGTACACATGACAAAGACGGTAGAGATTTTCTTTCTTCAATTAGAAACAAATGGAAGAGATTTTGTTTATGTTTGTTTAACATTATGAAAATGTACTGAATAGTTTGTAGAAGTTACTGTACTATCTATTTGGTTTATTTTTATTGTGAATCAGAAACAACCATAATAAGAAAAAACAAATATCAATGAAATTGAATTATTTTAATGCTTTCATTTAAATACATATTTTAAACAGCAATTGTCTTTTATAATTTAATTTAAGATAGTTATTGTAAAGCGTTTATAATATTTTATAAAAATAAGCTTATAATATTCTAGATGTAATGTAGCAATTCATTTGGTTTTCCTTATTCACAATTTAATTGCATTGCATTGCTTTCCTTGAGTTTTTATTATTGGCAAATATAAGCATGAAAATGAAATTATACATTCATTTCTTTTTTAAGTGATACACCTCTGAATATACCCAGCTATAGGCACATTTCATAAAGAAATGTGTCCAAATTTTGACAATACAAGTGGTTTTGATTTAAAAATATTTCCAAAAGAAACAACTAAGTTCAGAGCTCAATTTTCCTGAAAAAATGTTCTATAAAAGTTCATCCTATTTCCTATAATTTTGTGATCACTGCTTTGGAAGTCAATATTTGAAATAAAATACTATTGAGAACAAGCCAAGATTAGCTTTCAATGGGAATGCTCATTCACTCATTTAGAGTCTGCACTATATGCAAAATGCTAACTATCGGGTACTTTGGAAAGTTGAAAGATGAAGCAGGCGTGTGTGTGTGTGTGTGTGTGTGTGTGTGTGTGTGTATCCATCAAAAATTTCAGTGAGGAGAGAAGATGTTACATGAAGATGAATAATTATAGGATTAGATAGAAATAGTTAAGTACCATCAGGAAGTATAGAGAAAATACTTCAGGATTCCACAAAATGGAGAGATAATTTCCTCTTATGAATCATAGAGAAGGTCCAGAGATGGAAATTGTTGAAATTTATGAGCATCTCTGCTTGATAGCAGTTATTACTCAATGATGTCAAGAAATAACTTTCTAAGAGTGCTAAAAACTGGAAAGGGTAATAAAACAAATATCCATATTGCTATTGCTACTTTAAGGTACATGGAATAAACCATCATTTCCACAGGGATTTTTCTGATTCTTCTGGGAATATCAGCCTTTGCAAATAACATTTATCATGGTTCAAAAGGATAAGTGAATAAAGAGAAGGTCAGGTTTAGCAAAGCATGGCTATATTTATGTGATCTCATCACTATGCAATGGCCTAATTACAGGGTATTTTAATTACTTATAAATGAGAAATGGGGTAGATATCATTGAAGATTCTATAATTTATGAATTTCACTGAGTTTTGTCTCCCTCTTCCTTTAACTCTACTTTTCAATGAACACTGCTATATCTTCATAAAGTTTATTCACATAGACCATTTATATCAGATCAATTATTTGATATTTCCCAAAGTTCTTCTTATTCTGGGGAACTTGGCTTTTCCCAGTGTAAATTAGTCTCCATAATTTTAAATTAAAATAATTTTCCCTCCTTGGTGTTCTCATGGAACTTTATATGTCTAAGATGGTCCTTTTACACCACCCTACACTCTGTTTGATAGGGCAGGGGAGTGCCTTATCATATATATATATATATATATATATATATATATACATATTAGAATGGTGTATTCTATAATAGTAGAATATAATAGAATTTTAATACATATATTACAATGTACTATATATAGTGTAATGATACATCACATATATACATATATAGAATGAGGAAATAAGGGCCAAGTAATAGCACTTATCATATTTATTTACAATATATCAATAAGAAATTTTAACAATAGGTAGAAGCAAAATAGTTTGGAAATGCAACTGCATCTAGAATAGTGATAGTCTCACTGTAAATGTCCAAAAGCAAATAAGCTCTGATAACAGTAGACATAATGACAATGATACTGAAACAAGAATAACAGTGATTAATAAAAAGAGTAAGGCAAAATCTGACCACAAGAACAAAGGCAAAAGCCAACTATGGGCTGTTGATGTAAAGAGAATTGCTATTCTAGAAGCCTTATTAAATATTAGCATATTTTTCTGTTTTCCATGCTGCTGTGCATTGGCAAGAGAAAAATAAATATATATGCATAATTTTTCTTATTGTAAAGAATTTTTCCTGTGTACTTTCAAGTCAGTAAAATATTGCATGTCTATTCCATATCCCTGATGGAGTCTGAAAGATGTCAAAATGGGCATACATACAAGAAGAAAAATAGATGTAAGCTAGAAAAGGAAACCAGAAATGATTCAGACTTAGGATCTGTAATTGAGAGACATTCTTAGAAACTATAAGAAAAAATAGCTTTTCTGATGTGCTGAAACAGTGTATAAACAAAGTCATGAGTCATAGTTGCCAATTGAATTCTATGTATAAGATCCATAGAGACCTGGATCAGATCTTGTCAAAGCATAAATTTTCAAAATCTTCAGTTCGGATAACAACATAAGCTATGTTCATTCACAATTCCCTGGTCCTAAAGCCATGACAAATGTTAATTGTATAAAAGAGGAGTCTCTTTCCCCACTTGATAATTTGGCTAATTTCAGTTGATTTATCATGGTGTTTATTCTATCATCTATCAGATTTTCCTTTGTCAGTATTATTATATCATGAAAATGTCACTTTGAACATTTTAATGAAATGCTGAAACCTGGATAAAATGCATTGGTTCTGTTTCTCTCTTTTTGGAACAAAGCCTTCATCTATTTTAATGAAATTTTCCTTGAAACTAAAATTAACTTAAAGCTACATCCCGAATTTTATCCCAACATGAATAAATGTTTCACCATAGAATTTTTGCAGGATGAGATCTGAAGTAGATAATACCAGATAATTATTCACTCCACTTCTTTGTGCATGCCATGCAAAGTAATTTTTCATGTCTAGAGATCTAAGTTTGAAAGTGTGATATGTGACATCAAAATCTGCATTTGCATGCAATATGGTTTCCAATAAGTTAGAAGCTCAAGAGTTGTTTCAAATATAAATAGGACTGATTGGTCCACTTCTATAAAATCAGAGGTTTCAAAACTTGAGTTTCATCCCCTGGAAATTCTTTCTCTATTTCAGCAGAGTTTAAGTTCAAATGTGAGTATCAACTCCTGTAAAGGGTGCTTGCACACAAATGTCCAGTAGGACATTTGAAAATGATACTTTGTTCAGTTGGTAATAATGTAACCCAAGCATGACTATTTCTTTGATCACTCTGGTACAAATGGACATCAGACATTACTATGGATCCCAAGAAAGAGGGGCAGAATGCTTACAAGTATCAGCAACATTAAACTTCAATGCAGAAAGTAGCATAGGCCCTTAGGTGCCTGAAAGGGTAAAGCCTTGGTCATGCTGAGATTTTGGTTTTATTAGGAACTGCAGAAAACAATTGGCTCAATTATAAATCACCTTGGTGGAGATTATGGAATTATATGGCTCATACAATGCATAATTACTTTGGTCACAGAGGAATTCCTATTCTTCCTTATTACTGGGTCTCCCTTAATCAACAGGGTTAAGGTAAATTGTTTCTTAACTGCTGAGATAGGAAAAACCCTAAAGGAACAATGCCAATGTTTAAACATACTAGAGCCATTGTTAGGAAACATAAAGAAAGATGGGTTTTCAGATGTCTATAAATAACAAGCATTAGCCAGAGTTGTCAATTATAAAAACATTTAAAGGATATGAATATAGCATATGATTTTTGAGACATTACCTTTTAGTTATGATCACAGCATCCATTTCAACTGGCCTAGTACTAACTTAGATTGCATGATAGTTGAAATTTCCATTGGGAGAAAACTGTTTTTGGTTGACTACATAGGTTATAGTGATTGGTGGGGACTGTTCATTGACAAAACTAGAGGATAAACGAAGGAAGAATAAAAAAGAGGGAAGTAAAATTACATGGCTAAAAGGAAGAATGTATTTATTTTAAGCTACATTTTCATAAGGTTACCTTGCAAAGCACTTTTAGTTTGCTTATATATTCACCTTCCAAAGTACAAATAGTATGGAGGAATATGTATACATGGTATGCCTATATATATACACATACTATGTTTGTATATGAATTAGAGTATCTGAAAGATATACAGGAGAGTGGAAAACATTGGTTGCATCTGAGAAATAGTAATGGGTGCCATGGGGACAGGGATAGAAAGGAAAATTACATATCTTTTGATTTTTGATTATTAGATATATTCCCAATTCAAAAGGAGAATTAATTGTTAAGTACTTCTAGAGAGGTAGAGTTCCAGGAAAATCCTTTCCTGGGTAGCATGGTTTATGGTTGCAGATTAAAGTCAGTGTCACTTTAAGTGCAGTAACATGCATGTGGCCTGAT